TAGAATAGTTCTATTCAAATATTCACAGTTTTTGAGATATCTCGCTTGAAAGGTTTTTCTAGTCGATATTGGTTGCTTACATTTTCTGATACTGACAGGTTATACTAATAGCTACTAAGCCTATTTTTTTATCAGATGTTTAGTAAGGATGACTCTTCCGAATCATGCTCCAAAAACTGGCCTGCGTTATACAGGGTGGCCAAAATATCATGTCAAAATTGCCAATTGAAAAATTGAAAAATCTAGATTTTTTTAAATGCAACGTCCTGTATATTTTCATACCATGAGATGCAGAATTAAATTCTCTGCAACTTTGCTATACCTGCTCCTATACCAAAATTCATTAGTTATTCATCAAATCTCATTTCTATGAAAAAATGCGAAGTTTACAAATATCTTATATGTAAAATAACGTAGTAGGCTCCTGTCAAAGGATAATCTGGATAATTTTCGATTCACATAAGGTTTAATAGAAAAGCCACAGTAATAATTGCGAAATGAATTACTCTAAAGAAGAATTAGTAAGTAAATAATAGAATAATTAGTAAAACTCATGGTAACTGTTTATTGGCAAGTCGTATTTACCAAAGTAATAATCCAGATTTACAAAGATATCCTCGTACAGTGTTTTGTAAAACTGAAGGTTTGAAAGAACAACAAATACAAATTATGAGAAGACAACAAGAACACACGCATGCAGTATCCAAATCAGTAAATTAACATTGTGCATTTCTAACAAAAGTAATAAAGACCTAGTTAAATTAGTAATTAACAGGTAACCCCTCAAAATGTCTGCCATTTTTCTATACACATTGAGCAATTCTACGACGAAAATTGCTTGACACATTTCGCAGCATTTCCGAAGTTAGGGTCAAAAAAGCATTTCTTATCTTTGCCCGTAAATCTTCTAGATCTGTCGGAGGAGTTTCATACACCCTGTCTTTTATATAGCCCCATAAAAAAAAATCAAGACAATACAGGTCTGGGAATCGGAGAGGCCATGGAATTGGCTATACCTATCCACTTATCTGGATACAAATCATTTAAGTATTCTCTAACCTGAAACAGTTTTTCTATGAATTTACATAACTTACATAATGAGAAAACTTACCGCCAGTGTGGAATGTGCAGGGGCCAACATGTTAATTGGAACCACTGACTGTTTAAGTCATCCGGAGGAATATGTCCCTGCAATCGGAGCAAGTCGTTTTGTAAAAATTGCAAATACCCATTATCAGTTAAGTTTCCTTCAAGAAAATGTGGTCCAATGACATATTTTCCGCATATTCCCGCCCAAACGTTGACTTTAAAGCGGTGTTGATGATCGTCTTGTCTTATTAATCTGGGATTATGATCGGCGTAATGGTGATAATTATGTCGACTCTCTCGACCAGTATTGGCAAAGGATAACTCGTCAGTAAATAACACCTTTGAAAAAAAAATTTCATCTTGTAGCTTTATAGTTGCCCACTCACAAAACTGTACTCGCCTCTGAAAATCTTGTTGTGTTAAGAATTGGTGATGCTCAGAATGATGGGGTGGAAGTTGTTTTTCTTTAACGTTCTATTAACCACACTTTTGGAAATACTAATTTCATCACTAATTTCTCTGACACTTGTAGATGGATTTTGGACTGCACATTCTAAAATATCAATTTGACTATCCTGATTACCACATGCGTGTGTTCTTGTTGTCTTCTCATAATTTGCATTTGCCTTTCTTTCAAACCTCCTCCAGTTTTACAAAACACTTTGTACGGGGATATCTTTGTAAATCTGGATTATTAGCTTGGTAAATACGATTTAAAAAACCAAAGTTGGTGTCTGTCCAGGAAAAGTGAAACACCCTGTATAGTTGAATATATTTTTAATTTGTACATTCCGAGAAATGTGGCAACACAGTAAAAAGAAAAACCCATATATTCCTCATTTTAACATAGATATTGGACTTTCCCGCACTAGTGGGACACGCTGTATACTATCATAAATGCTCCATAAATGTATCCAGTCACTATTACCTTAACCTTTTTTTTTTTTTAAGAATTTTTCTTAACATTAAGAAGAGTCCTGAGTAAACAGTTATATTTGTTCCTTATACATATTACTCATTTCATAACACTGTTCCCTTCACTCCCAGTAGGAAATAGAGAAGATAGGAAAATGGAAAAATATATCAAAAAGGCAGATATTACTGGGTACAAAAGTTATGCCATTTTAAAGACTTGCAATGTGCTGCAAGTGACACCCTCCAATAAGTAACAGTAAAGTTATGATCTGATTTGAATTCGTCATCTCAAATAAACTTCGATTGCCAAAATTTGTGCAATATCTGTAATTTTGTAAAGGTTAAAAACAAATTTTTAACTTTTTAAATATTTATCAACTTCCGACTGACTGACACAAATTTAGTTAAATCGTAATATTTTAGTGCGTAGAATCCACTGCTACTCCATGTACCATTACTTGTGGGAAACCCTGTATAACATTTCAAATTTTAAGTGTCTTTTTAAACCATGTGACATTCATTTCTTTCTTTGATAAATTCAAACTAGGTTAGGAAAAGCCTTAAACACTTCAGTATATTTTTTTCCTTCATAATAAATTTTCTGAAATAGGGTGCCAAAATATGAATGAACATTGTATAATAAATCCATAAGTTAGCATATGTAGTAATAAAATTAAAAAGGCTTATTTTATTGCAAGATTAAAACAATTTTAAATTAAAATAACATTTTATTTTCTAAAATCCAAGAACAATGTTTACTGTCTATTTGTTAAAGTTGAATTTTACAAATACGTTTAAATTAACAAAAATACATAAAAATATTTCATAAAAATCTTACAGATTAGAATGATGTTTAAAATACTACAAAGTGTTTAAAATACTATAAATTGACACGCTCATGAAATAACACAAAAATTTATGGAAAAATGGCCCAAATGCTAAAAGTTCATATCAAAAGCAATAAAAAATAATATACAAAAAAATAATAAAGCAAAAAAAATAAACATATTTTAATATGTATTAGTATTTGAAATATACACTTTTAAGATAGTGCTTAATCCTTACTTTTGAGGAAGCACAGTTAAAAAGAATTCTATATATACAATACAGCTGATACACAGCTCATACATCTTTAGTTTCATTTTTTTAAAGACTCCTGACTAATTGAATTTGATTAAACATGTTTAAAATGAAACTGCTTAATTCTTTACCAATTTTGTAATACATTAAATAAATATTGAAAAGTAACTATTGTAGTGAAAATAAATAAGCATTAAAGAGAGACATAAAAACCTATTACATAATTAATATTAAATTTTGGTAGAGAATAAAGCAGCTAAATTTTAAAAGGCTAGGTTTAAACTTAAACCTTGGCAGTTGATTTTAAATTCTTGTTTAAGTCGATTCACTATTTCCATTGACATTAATCTCTTCTTATAAAAGTTCTTCCGCTAGAAAATAAAATAATTTTATTAGGAAATTTTTAAATATTTCAGAAAAATTTCAACTACAAGTAATAATAGTTATTTATGGTACTAGTGTGTTACGGTATATACAGGCTGTTACAAATTCGCTTCTCACTACAGAGATCTTGGAAACGGTAAGAGGTACGAAGTAGCTTAAATGAGGGCAAAGTTGCGTAATCAGAGGACCAACATTATGCCTCTAAAAAATCAAGGCTAACATGATTAGTTTTCGAAATATTTGGGAAAAATCGAAATTTTGGATATCCGTTTTTGTTTCATTTCAGCCTTGTTTGAGGTGATATTGAAACAAGAATGAATAAAGAAAGTTAATATATAAATTATTTTATTTAAAAATTTTCATTCGAAGTGTGCGCCATAATAATCAATTTTGTGACATACTATTACTAGGTATACTATGTTATTACAGAAAACTTCTTAAATTAACTCCTCGGTCTCTATTGGTAAATAAAAGGAGGATAGTGCTATGAGATTAGTTGAACTTCCTGTTAATGACTGCAATTAAGGCATAGTCTAAGGCAGAGGTTCCCAACCCTATGCGGGCACCATGGCTCCCGCAGACCGTTTTACATGTGCCTGTCGCTGTGAAATCCCTTACTAAGTTTTCAATAAGCCGCCGTAGTGTACAGGCAGAAAAGGATTGTATGACAATTATTAGTTATCCTCGTTAATTTTGGATACCTATTGCAATATTTTTTAACTAAAATAGTTAGCGAAGGACTAGTTTCAATTTTGTTTCTTTGTTACCATATGCTTTTTGACATTTGTGTTTTGAAACCCTTATTATTGTTTATTTTTTGTTTTTGACATATTTTTTTAGTTTATCTTTCGATATGTTTTTATTTATATATGTATTTCTTCTGTGGAAAAGTCCATTTTGAATTTTGATTAAACGTTTATTTTGACAAATGATCCACGGTGGCATTGTATAAACATGTGTGAAGTATTCACTAGCGATCGTTGCCCCACCAACCAAAATAATTTTAGAGATGGGCAATGGGAAATTTTCCGTCCCGGAAAGTTTCCAAAATGGAAATTTTCCGGGAAGAAATAATCGAAGCTTGAGAAATTTTCCCTGGAAATTTTCCGGGAATATTTATAACAATTTGTAAACTTGGAGCCAATTTTACTTCTAACTTCTATGAACATAATCAAAAAATCGTTGGTTAATTTCGGATTTTCCGTTAATTCGGAATACCATAAGACCATATTATCCAAATAAGTTAAAAAACACTTACACTTACTTATTTTAATCTTTGTTAAGTCTACAATCTACATAATAGAGAGCAATACAAGACTCATAAATTGCCTCCTTTTCAAATTTAATATGAATTTTGATAGTTGAACCAAAGTACAATTACATTTTAAAACTAGTATAATTATTTAATGTATTTACTATTTGTTTGTTAAAAAATAAAGATAAATATTATATACTGTATAGTGTTTACGCACTGTAACCCTCGGCATGTAATTTTTCCTAACGGATGATTAATACATAATTTATATTTTTCCAATATTTATACCAATATAAATAAAAATGTATATAAGTATTTGGTCTTTTTGGAAAGCTGATGGTATGTAGAACACAATACCAAATCCAAAAAAAAATTTTTGAAATTTTCGGAAAGTTTCCGGAATTTTCAATGGAAACTTTCCAGGAATTTTCATAGTTAGGGAATTTTCCCATCTCTAAATAATTTTTATACAGCGCTATCCAAAAAGTTTGCACCATATGGGAAAACATTTGTATGTACTAATTTAATAAATTATTTCGATTGTCAGTTGTCTCTGCTTGTCGTCAAATCAAAATAGTACCCATCGAACCTCATAAAACGTATGCTATATACGAGGGGCAGACAAAAATTACAAATCAACCCAAGAGTAAAGTACCTTTATTTTTAACCCTAGAGGAAAATGTTATAAAGAAAAGTTATTTCCCTCTAAAAGATTAGCCCGAATATAAAGTTTCAGTTCATACGATACTGAACGATACCTGACATTTTTGCAACTTTCCCTCGTACCATATTTCGAGCAAAAACATCCATTGCTAAAATCACGTTTTTCTAGTACGCTTCTACAAGAAAAACATTATAATTCCAGAAAACAAGTTGAATCGGGAACAAATAAGGCCGTTATAAAAAATGGTGTAGAAAATAAGAACAAATTTGGTGCAAACTTTATTTCATGTTTAAGAATTATATAAAAACTAAGTAAAATGGTAAAACTCGTATACACTACTTCTTAAATTAACGGTTACAGTTCGTTCAAAAAATATTAACCCTGATTCCAATAAGGAGGAAACAATTTTTATCTTACAAAGCAATGCAAAAAACAACTAAGAAATACAAAAAGAAAACTGGTATCATTAAAAATCAACTTCTTGACTACGGAAAACCCTATTTCTAGGTGAACTATTGTAGACGATACCTCTTGAATAACATTAAATTAACATTAACATTTAAATTATTCTTGAACATAAAATAAAGTTTGCACCAAATTTGTTATTATTTTCTTCACCATTTTATATAACGGCATTAATTCCTGATTTGACTTGTTTTCAGGAATTATAATGTTGTTCTTGTGAAAGCGTATTAAAAAAACGTGATTTTAGTAATGAATATTTTCGCTCAAATTATGGTACGAGGGAAAGTTGTAAAAATGTCAGGAATCGTTTTTTCAACATAATGAATTGAAACTTTATATTCGGGCAAATTTTTTAGAGGGAAATAATTTTTCTCTTGGGCCGATTTGGAGTTTTCGTCTGCCCTTCGTATATAAAATACATTCTATGAGGTGCGATGGGCGCTATTTTGATTTGATGACTTGCAGAGACAACTGACATCGAAAGAATTTATTAAAATACATAAAGTTTTTTCCTATATGGTGCAAACTTTTTGGATAGCGCTGTATGTTAAAATTACATTTTCAACTTATCAACTAATCTTTTTTGTACAGTATGTGTATTATTAACAATGTCCAAGTCAAAAAAAAGGTCCCATTTAAGATAAGAACAGTTTTTTTTCATTTTTCAATCGAAATCCGTGGTAAAAAATGGGCGTTTCTATTTAAAAAAATCAACTTTCGGTCTAAAAACGCCACTTCCGGTCTAGACTGGAAGTCGTAATATGGACCTTTCGATGGCCACCTCGGAGCCCTACAATTTTTGTCTGAAACTTTTTTCAAAATAATTAAGTCTAACCGAGATATTATTTTGTCTCAAGATAAAATAAATGCCCCATCCGATATTTTAGCGGCATCCAAAAAGTATACTGAAAAATCATTGAAAATGTTAATTTGTCATTATTCCTGCTTTAGACAGTGGCATGTGCTTATAACGAGCGTTCAAATAAAAACGTGGTCAAGTTGGTTCTGAAAATTTGGACGTAGGGCGTAGCGTATAGCAAATGAACTTAAATGTCATCTGTCAAAGCGCTATATCGCCGCTATCAATTTGAATATTTTCGTTTTAAAAAATGTTTAAAATGGTGTTTTCTCAAGAACAAAAAGTGTTTATCATAGAGTCCTACTTTAGAAATGGACGCAAGATTGATGGAATATGGAAGTATTCTATTGAGGAATGTTTCATAGAATTTCAAAATCAATTTCCCGGCGTTGTTGAGTACAAAATTTTTCAAAGTGCAGTTCATCGTTGTGTTAATGTTTTTCATGAAACGGGCAGTGTAACAAGAAAAGAAGGAAGCGGCCGACCTAAAAAGCGGACTGAAGAATTAAAAGAAAATGTCCAACAAATAATGGAAAATGCGCCAAGAACTTCTGTACGTGTTTTATCACAAATGGTGGGAGTATCAGTCGGTACCTGCCGCACAGTGTTAAAAAAAGATTTGCGTTTGTTCTCCTATCGTTTAACTTGTCAGCAAGAACTTCATGAAGTTGATTTTCCGCGACGGGCTGTATTTTGTGAATGGTTTTTAAACAACTACGGTGAACTTCATAATATCACCTTTTTTTCTGATGAAGCCTGGTTTCATTTAAGTGTTATAACAAGGAGGGGGACACTTTCCGCAGCTCCTTTAATTATTATATATATTATTATATTATTGTTATCACGATTATTCTTTAAAATAAAGTTATATAGTCATTAACGTTATTGAAACTGACAGCTGCACAGCTGCTATACAGCTCGTTGTGAAATGAGGTTAAGTTGGTCGCTATAAGCTACTCCCTACATCCAATGTGTCAGAGCCAACTTCGACCACGTTTTTATTTGAACGCTCGTTACTTATATTAAGAATGAAGTTCGCCGACCATTTTTGATTAAAAAAACAGTAACAAAAGCATGGATTTTCTGTATCAAATCATTTAAAAAAATATTGTGTTGGGTTTTATTTCTCAAAATTTTGAGAAACATCAGAGAAATGTTTATTTTTCAATTCTGCATTAAGGATTAAATTTTTTGCCATAGGATTTCGTTAATTACATATCTCATCTCCGCTTAGCTTCAGTGGATGCGGTTGAGCAGAGGAGAGATGTCTCATATTTGTTTAGCGCAAACAAATCAGAGATTTGTGCCTCGCAAGTTGGAGTCTGCGTGCAGCGGAGACAAGAGGAGATGTGACTCCAGTTCTTCGTCCAGTAAAACAAGATACAGTTTTTGTAATAGTGACATGACTGACGTCTGCCTTTCGTGCCAGATCGAGCTAAACTGTACGTAAGTTCGTTCATCTCAATATCAAATGCTCGCCGCAGGCAGCTCAGCTCCACTCTAGTCAGTACACATCTCCGCACAGCTTTGGTGGATACACCCTAGCTGTTAAGCATCCCTTCTCCTCTCCGCTTCGCACATCTCCGCTTTGGTGGAGTCTGGACCTTAGTGTTGATTTAATCATCTCTACAATTATCTTTTCAGATTACTTAATAACTTATAACCCAAACGACAAAAAATAATATAAATAAAAAATAAATTAGTAACATTCAATTTGGAATGCTATTAACACGTTTACTGCGGTACATACCTCGGGGGGTATGTACTCATTATAAAAAATATTCGAATCTCAATAATCACATTTTTACTGTATCTTGTGGAAGTTGCAGAATCTATAAATTTTAGAAATAATGATTTTTCTATTATTTCCTTTTCAAAACTCTTTGAGAATGAAAACGTTAGTATCCTAGGATATATAGTTACAGATACATGCAAGTTTATAGCAATAATTGTGTTATTTTTAATTTTATAGGGTCAAATGTAAAAAAAAATTACATATCCCCAGGGATATGTACCGCACACAGAAGAAGTTTTGTTACATATCCCCGAAGATATGTATCAGAGTCACGGACAAAGTACATTGAGATTATCTCGCAGTCAATGTGTTAACAATTTTGCAGAAAAATAATAAAGTTTTGAATAGCTTTTAGTATTTTATCATAAATGTATATTAAAATAACAAATAATTAATATCATATTTACAAGGAACATTTTAACTGAAGATATGCGTCCCACAAAACAGACTATAATCCATTTTTAAATAAATAATAAAGTTTAAATAAAATTGAACAAACAGTGTTATCTACTAAGGTATAAAATTATGACCTCACACATTCATTATCTTATCTCCACTTATAGAAGATATAAGATACCTATAAAAATGTGTATGGCTGAATTGATGTATGAAATTCGGACATTAAATAAAACCTAGTGTTTTACAAAACTGCAATAAGTAGTTTTTTTTTTGTTCAAAATTTTATTTTGGAAGTAAAATAATTTTGCTCCTGTATAGCAAGTGTATTCTACAATTAAAAATAATTTTAAAAAATTCAAATGTTTTCCGATTTTTATTTATTTATTTTTTCCAATTGAACATCATAACAAAATTCCTCCCACACATCCTTCTGTTGCAGCCTTCGTGAAATGCCCAAATGGTGTTATTCTCTTGTTTAAAAACACCATTTATTACACCAAGACTACAATAGAACAAACTGTGTGAGGAATTTTGTCACAATGTTTAATTTAAAAATAAATAATTTTGACCTTTTATTATTTTTATTGTTTTTAAATTTAAATTTCATAAAACTGTGTAGAAATGTGTGTTAAAAACACCTTCTAGCTGATCTTTGTTGCCCAGGGATTTTTATTTATTTTAATTTTTATTTTTAATTTCAATAATTCTTCAATTACTGCAAAACAACTGTCTTTTCTTAAGTTTCATGTCACCCAAGAAATATACAGAGAGATCTATTAATATGGTGAATATTGTATAATAGATCTGTTATTAGTTATTATTTAATACAAAAAAAAGTTGGGAGAAGTTGGGATATTTCAAAACTAAATTCAAATATACAAAGTGATGTATGAAAGTGTAGTTGTTTAAAAGTTTGTTCTTTTTAATGAAACACCCTATATATTAGTTATCAGTCTGGATTATCTGATGTCACGAATATCCAAGTCTCCAATTTTGGAATTTTTTTGCCATGTTACCAAATTATTTAGAAAATTGATTAAATTTCTCAGAAAACATAAAATAAAGATAAAATAAAAACATAATTAAATGTAAAACTATTTACATTACAATACACAGAATTTTATACTGTATTTTGCCACACTAATGACTACCTGTATGCAGTTGTATGTAACTGTAATCTATTAGTTTTTTCATATAATTATTAATAATTTTATAATGCAGAAAAAAATGTATGAAAATCAGAAGTACTTACGTGATCGTCTTCTTGTCTGTAGACTTATTTTCTGGGCGAGCTCTATTCAGCACTTTCAGGAAATCAGAAGTCTTTGCTCGCATCCTACTATGGATGTATGCTTTAGAACATTTAATATGGTAATGCAAGTAGTGACGGAACATATGAATTAGGTTAATAGTGTTGTCACGTGTATTTCTGGCTGTATGTCTAGGAAATAGAACGAATGTTACGTATCCGACTTTGTTGTCAACGACAGCATCGGTATTCTGTAACTCGAGCGGAGGTTCTCTGTGGCTAAAAAGCACTGGTGGAGCAGTGTGGGAAGCTCTAAGACCTTCTTTGAGCTCCTGCATAAAAACTTTCCCGATCACAACATCATCTTCATCTCGAAAACGTGTCGAAAATACTACTGTCACTCTGTCAGCTTTAGCTTCAACATAACTAAAAAAAAATACTTAGCTACAGTTTATATATAAAAAACTAACAACTTACTATCTGCTGTTATTATGACGTGAGATCTATTTTTTTATATAGGGTGTTTTAAAAAATCTTGCCAAAAATTAGGAGCTAGTAGAAAATTGACAACTAAGATTAATTCTTCATGTGAACCATAGTCTATTGTATTTTGGTTTTAAAATATAGGACATCATAGATAATATTTTAGAATCAAGTTTTAGCTGTATATTAAAAAAAAACAGTATGTATATTGAAGTGAAATTTAATACAAGTATGGTTTCAAAGACAACTTTGAGGAACCTTGTTAGTTTCGGACTATTTTGTAGATATTGTTATTTACGATCTTTCCAGGATAATTTTTTGAGTTTAAGATTTCTGCATCATATCTTGCAAATCTCAATGTAAAATTTAATTATGCACAAAAAAAGGTAGATTTGTAAAACATTTAAATGACAAAAAATTAATGAAACCTCTGAAGGCAAGGTAATTCTCTACATTAATATAAATGCAATTAAAGAGAAACGAGCAATATTTAGGGGCAGACAGTAGTTGATCTTGGTATATGTACCTAAAAAATTATAAAATATCATTGAAAAGATCATAGCTAGTGATTACTATAAGATAATAATTGCAAACTAACAATATTGGTTTATTTATCATTGTCTCAGTGCAATATATTATTTTATGAGAAAGAAATTTAATTTTAAAATATTCTTTTTGACATTCTGTATTTCAAAAACACAAGATAGTAGGAAAACAATGTCCCGCTTTTTAATTTTTCACCAACTCCTGAATTTATAGCAACTATTTTCAAAACATACGGTATTGTCAAGATTTGTCAACAATTTAATTATTTCATCATATATTTGAAAAAAATAAGACTAAAATTGATTTGACATATTTCTTATTACAGTACCACAGTACCAATAAACACATAAAATCAATATACAGGGAGTTCAAGAAACAAGCACCAAGATTGCTCACACATTTACCTCATCAAACGCTGTAATTTTTGTAAATAATTTTTTAATTTTTATGATAAAAATCCTTAAAATTTTAAATTTTTGTTACCCCCCACTGAAGCAAAAGTATAAACATTTAGGTGAGTTAATAACAAAGAAAAAGAAAACCAACAATCCATAAAATATTTTTATATGAAGGTCCTTATTAATTCACATGCAGCGTTAGTTAGCGTTATAAAGTACAAAATAAGTACTGGACAAATGTGAGTTTTCGAAAAAAATGATTAGAAAAAGTTGTTGCTATTGATGAGTTAAATTAAATACATGATTATGATTTCAGCACTCATTTCTGGGGCATTCGGTATATCTTTTTCTAAAAATTATTTTCTCAAATTTAACAAATGAATTATTATATTTTAGCTTGTTTTATGGTAAATTATTGATAGTAATTAATATTGTTATATGTGAGGTTTACAAATTAATTGCTTATGAAAAGTAATACTCAAAATATTTCCTCTTAGTAAGTATATACTTAGGTACTTACTTTTTGGAACTAAATATCTATTTATGTATGTATATTACATGTGGCAATTGAAAAATTCTTAGTGAATTTTATTAATGAATAAAGAATATGTAATACTCTTTAAAGAGCAAGCTGTACAACTAAGATTTTTTTTATTTACTAACGTTCTTAAGCAAAATTCAAATGTAAGAGAATTACTGTTAACCATTCAAAGAACAAAATCAAGTACATATAAATACTCATTTAGTAATTCAATAACAGTTATGTAAAAGTTTATATGGTTTTAAAAGAAAAAAAAAGTGATACAAATTAAGTAATACTGGTAATATAACCTTTACTTATAAACATTATTTTATTATATTTAATGTGTAAAAATAATTGAATTAAAAAAACTGTATTTTATTTAAGTAAGTATTCTATACAAAAATAAGTAGCAAAAGGCGGTCTTAAGATTATCTACTCTTTAAACAAAAACTTAGTAAAACTGACATTATAAAACATCCCTGTAACTTATCAACTTTACATGACATCATTTTTAATCTACAAACACAGCATTAAAAAGATATAAATTATGGAAGATTATTAACATTTAGTCTTGAAGTTTTATTATATAATTGCTGATAGCATATTTTCTGGGAAATTTCAGAATACAAAATATATAAAAAACTATGATTTTTTATTTCAACATTCGTATCAACATGAACAGTTATCTTTTTCTTTAGCAAATATTTTAAATTTCAATACAAGAATCTTTTTCAGTACTTATTTATGCATTTAAAAAAAAGAACACATCAATACAAACATTACTATTTCATTATTACAGACTCAAAATTATCCTTGACTTATTTCATATTATATTTCCTGAGATAATACTAATTTTTACAATTCATAAAAAATTTCCTGATTTTTCCCAATTGTCCCGATTGTGTACACCTATAGTTTTTTCTTCAAGATGCTGTACTATATAAAATACTACTGCAATTAAGTTAAAATATTTTCATATAAACATTATATCAAATAAGCATATCAACAGTCAGTGCATATGACGAATATAAAGGAAGTTAATCAGGAACTTGCTGTGGAGAAGAGATAAAAATATAAGTAAACCATTTAAATTTAAATTTAGTTGCAATTGCTGATACATTTTTATTTCCTGACTAAGCAGGAAATTAGACAGAAAAATTTTATAATTCATTTTAGACATAGTACTTAAATTTGGTTAAATATTTTTTTGTTTGCGTTTCTATTTTTGATTCCTGAAAATCTTATACAACATTACTGACAGTTTTCTGTTTTTTTTTTATATTATTTGAAATTTGTTTCAATATTTTAAAAGATAATCATACATTAAGTTCTACATGTTTAGTTCATTATTGGTATTTTAGTTTTAAAACTTTTGGAAAACCTAATCCATAAGTTTGTTTACGAAAAACTTAAAAATGAATCCGTAAAATATTAAATACAAAAATAAAATTAAATAAAAATGTTTTATTAGCCCAATACTTAATCACAGGGGAGTTTGTCATATTTGCAACGTCTTTTGAATAATGTAATAAAATATTAATTATATAAAATTTAAGAATAAAGGCACACTATTTTATTACTTATTCCGTACTTAGAAGATAATGCCATGGACCAAAGTTTTAGGAACAAAAACAAACTTTTTTATTTCTGCATTTAGAAGAAAATATTATGGGCTAAAATTTTAGAAAATATTCACGTGATTTCAAAGCAATAATTATAAAAAAATAATAATAATATTAGGTATATTCAGAGATACAAACAACAGTTGTGTTTCTCAATATGATTATCGAAGACATTAGTGATATAAACTTGATAGGTCTACCTCTAATAGTAATTGAGATATTATTAAAAATGTGCCATTAGCTAGAGAAATGTATTAGAAAGAGACTGATAGTTCCTCGGCAACCAAGTTTTTCTCTAGATATTACATTTATGGCACCTCTTTTGACCATTAGCCCATTACTTTTAGAGATTTACCTATCAAATCTTATTTCAATGTACGTATATACGTATATAATTTTTACTTTTCATATAACGTGGTTCGTTTAGTATGACACGATTTTACTGCCCAGTATATTAAATTTTGTTATGACCAAACTTCATTATATAACTATCTTCTATATCTACGGATAGTATAATTTACAGTTGGTAATTAGATTAAATTAACCATTTCATTCCTAAGTAGAATGAAGTTAAAATATGTGTGGAAATAGTTATAATACTCAATAACATCTGTAGAAAGAAAAATAAATGTTTTTTTAATAGAATACTGAATATATAAAAAATAGATTATATGATCAAATAAATAAAAATTTTGCTTACTTACTGCTCAGCTGAAAAATATTATTAAGTAATAAAAACTTTAAAAAGTAAATACATATAACAATTTCATAACAATTGACAAATTATGTATGAATACCGAGCAGAATATATCCTAAGACTACCTAATTTTTTTCAATTTCCATAAAGACACAAAAATATGATAAAAAGTAATTTTCAAATTAACTGCATAGTACAAGAAGCTCGACAAGAAGTTTAAAAAAGAAAAATTAAAAAATGTGTCAAAATAATAATAATAATAATAATAATAATAATAATAATAATAATAATAATAATAATAATAATTATAATATCTCTACTCCTCATTCTAACTACGAGAGTTAGCCCAGAAGTCGGAGACTTGTGCGGGAGAGGAGGCGGCATATTATTATTACGCAGGCCGCATTTGCGCCCAGGAACGACTTATGTTGGTAGGCCCTAACTACCATTCAGTGCAGGAATGAGGGAAACCTGGAAAACCTCATTAATTAGGGGGGTGGTCAAATGCCAACCGGTGTCAATCTCTCACATTGACCCAAGCCAACATTCTTCCACCCTACCATACCTGCACAGAGGGTGCCAATCCTCTGTACAAGTATAGCTAATCTACGGTCTACCGGCCGCGGGAATCGAACCCGGGCAGAGATTTACACACGATTAAAGGACTGACGCCTTAAACCGTGCGGCTACCAACCAAAATCAAATGTTATATTGTTGATTATCTCAAAATTTAGGTATGTACTTACAGAGTTTCATCATCTCTATACGGAATAACGGCTCTTTTCTGACCTTCATCGCCTTTCTCTTGGAAGTCAAAATACTTTTCAAAAACTGACGCAAAACAGTTCCTTTTTAGCAGACCAAGCTTTTTTACAAATTCAGGCCAATTCTCAGGAATGTTCTCTAGATCTAACAATACAGATACATTATAACCATTTTCTGGAGCGATTAGGTATGGTCCATATTCCCTTTTCAATAATTCATCTGCACCATGCTCTTGCAATTGTTTATAAAATTTTAATGAGATACTAGTCTAAAAATAAATACAGGTTGTAAATATTAAGCTTCACTAACTTGGATAAGTATGTGCTTACTCGTATTTTTGTCTTATCTCCATTCAAATTTGATATATGGTACAAAACTCCATCAAAATCAGCTACAGTAATATCTATGCTCTCGTTTTTTAAACTGAAATGAAGATATAGATTATAAATTAATCATAATTACAAAAATGTCAATAAGGTAGGCTCTATGAGTCATTAGGATTTCCTTTTTGAATAAAGAAGTAGTTTTTGAGTATCTAAAATATAATACTAATCAATAAGTATGTAAAAGTACATTATAATCGACAATTTGGCTATCTAAATAAATGCCCAACCCAGTAAAATAACAGAAACATTTATTAGAAAAATATATATCAGAAATTACTCACCCAGCTTGAGCGTTTTTTATTTTTAAAGTTAAAGTTTCTTCCACTACCCTGTTATTTATTTCCAATAATATCATTTTAACTATTACTTAAAAAAAGTTTTATTTACTAAATTTATATAAAATCCTAACAAGATCATACATGGGAGGTACTTCTCTTGCAACTTTCCGACTTTTGACAGTTTCGACGTTTCTTCTAAAAAATTTTAATCATTTTAATCGTGTCGGTAAAAACGCATATCTTTATTATCGTCTACAAACAGCATCACAGCTCTGTTCAGAATGCTTTGTCCTCTGCAGGCGTGTAACTGCGTTCCTAATTCAGATCCATATAACTTTTACTGAATTACTAATTTTTAAAATTAATTATTTTGTAATAATCTAAGAATATAGTAGTTTTAAGGCTTTCACGGCTGTCTTGATATAGTACGATGGTTATTCGGATTGTTATGCCTATATGTATCTGGTTGTCGCCAGTTATAGATTTACATTACACAATTATTCATAGACTTGGTTATGAATCTATGACTATTGTTGTTATCGGACTAGGCACTGTGAGGGTTGATCCGCTATAAGAACCCCTAGGCCTGTACTGATGACTGATGTTCATATCGGTTCTTATTGTTGTTTTTAAGGCCACGGACAGAATAAGCGCTCTTCAGACAATGGTGATCCTCTGGGACATTCCATTGCTGCTGTGTTTTAAGTATTCTGTTTAAGAATTGCAAATCTAACTCAGCACGGTTTTACGCCTAAACGTTCTTTTTCAACAAATCTTACACATATACTCATGGATATTGAAGCATTTGAAAAAGGTACACAAGTGGATGCTGTATATACAGATTTTCAGAAAGCATTTGATAAAGTAAATCACGATGTGTTGTTAAATAAACTGAGTCCCGAAGTAACATTTTTCTCTAAAATTCTCTCCTGCCGAGTTATTCTGCCATTCCTGTATTATTGTTAGTTTAACCTTGTGGGGCCCCAAGGTCAAAAGGGAGAGGTCACTCAAGGTATATCAGGACGTAAGATTTTCGCTCTTTTCATTTCTGGGGTCAAAAATATAGTCCCATTTGAAAAATCACAGTTGACCTTGAAATGATCTTCAAGGTCACCATTGGATAGCCAGGGAGAAATCATAAAACTTTTGGATTTAACATTTTTCTCTAAAATGCATTCCTGCCGAGTTATTCTGCCGTTTCAGTACTTTTGCTATACCCTGTATAAAGCTTAATGTATTAAATAGTTTTTTATATTACAAATTTCGTTAAGGTCCATACACCGTGCTGTACTTAAAAAAGAGTCAGTTATAAAAAGAGCACATTATTTTCTAAATATTTATTTATTGCATTTGGTTAATAATACGTAAGCAACTTTTGGTATAAACATTTAACGATATACAAAATAATAGTAGTATTTACACATGGTACTCTCCACCATCAATTTTCTCATCAGACACAATTGACATCAACGATTTTGCAGTCTCTTCGCTAATCCAAAATAATTCTAGCAGTAATCCATCAAAAACTCCCAATAAGCATCCTCCCAAAACGTCTAAAATGTAATGTCTGCTCATCAGTACACGACTTAAAGAAACTGAAGTGGCCCAAGCTATAAGAGGGCCATAACACAGAATAGGTAATGGATATAATCGTGTAAAAAAGTACACAACAAATATTGATCTACTCGCGTGGCCTGATGGGAAACTAAAAATATCAGGACCCATCTGTCCCAGGGCATCATCCTTGTTTTGGACTGGCCTTTTTCTTCTAAAATATGCTTTCGCTACGGCAACCAATATTATATCCAACAACAAACCTGAAAATAGTAGTGATTAAGTTTATCATATTAAAAAGATGTTTGAATTACAAAATAGAAACAAATTTCAAAATCAACTTTCATATTAATCAATATCTTATTATTTAATAATAATATTGGAAGCAAAAATGAAAAAAATAATCAAATATTGTCCCGCAGACACCTACACATTTCAACCTTTTTCCAAATTCTCTGTAAAAATTTTGTATTTCATTTAGTGAAATGAATACTGTCTCTAATTTAGTTTTTTAACAAAAATTAACACATTGTTTCCAAAATCATAACATTCATAAACTTTTTGTTTCAAATACATACTCCTATAATATTATAAAATACAGACCAAAACCATAGAAAAGAGTTATAACTCAAAATTTATTAACTCAGGTTAATCAGTGATTGCAGCTTTTTCTTTTCAAAATTTGTGCCCATTTGTGCCTAATTCTTTTGTCAGAACTGTAATTTTGTTTGCCTAATTAATACCCCTTTTGCACCAAGTAAATAACTAATCGCATTTCAAATTTGGCGTTTGCTGTTTTCAAAAGCAGTACAAATGGCACCGGTGAATCTACAGCCAAAAAGAACACTTTTTAAACAAAAATGGTAAAATGTTCACCCCTTAGGAGATACACTCTCTCAAAGTTTCGAAAAAAATATGGAATAGCGGCTGTAATTTGAAAACCAAAAAAGTATAATAGTCAAATTTTGCACAAATTTTCTACTAAGTAATGCAGGTACAACTCCTCAACAATTTTTGCTAGTTTCTCGAAGTCTTCTTTTTACTCCTGAGAAAGTCTGTCTGTGGGGAACTGGGTGTTTCGACATTTATAAAATACTTGCAGCATGTCAACATATTCATCATTAGTAAAATTATTTGCATAATTCTTCTCAAGTTATCGTAAAAAAAAAATAAAATTATTGAGTAGCAAATACAAGGAAGCATTTGCAAAAGTCACAAAAGATCTAGTGACAGAAATTAACAAGAAAGCCCTGTACTTAAATATTTCTTAGTTGCAGCCACGCAAGTTGTAATACGAATGATAATGAATTTAATTTCTTTGTTAATAAAGGTTGAGTTTCGTAGTAAAAAAGAGAGAGAGGCAAAAGTTTTAAAATAAACCAGGCTATCTCATACGTATTTTCGAATAATTAATTTTTGTGAAACAAAAAAGTTGTAGCAAAAAATAACATAGGGGATGCGTATTTCAACCCCTTCAAGGGGCAGAAATTTAACGAAAAATTGTTGACAAGTTGCACGTGCATTGGTAGAACATTTGTGTAAAATTTAATTTCTACACATTTTTTGGTTTTCAAATTACAGCTGCTATTACCAATTTTCTTGGAAACATTAAGAGGTTGTATGTCCTAAAAGGGATGAACATTTTACTATGGTCATTTTTATGCAAAACATGTTATTTTTAGCTGGTATCATTTGTGCTATTTCTTTTGAAAACACCCTGTAGATACCGGGTGGAGCACTTATCTTGAGACAAAATAATATCTCGATTGGACTCGATTATTGTCTCAAGATTCTTGTTTTTTTTGTTTTTTACGACCATTTTATGGCCAAAATATGGGTTAAATAAAAAATAAAAAGAACAAAAAGCATTTTCTTTTGTTTTTCAATCAAAATCCATGGTAAAAAATGGGTGTTTCCATTTAAAAAAAATCAACTTCCAGTCTAAAAACACCACTTCTGGTCTAGACCTTTCAATGGCCCCCTCATGCAGTGCCCTACAATTTTTGTCTGAAACTTTTTTCGAAATAATCGAGTCCAACTGAGATATTATTTTGTCTCAAGATAAATGGCCCACCCGGTATAATAATAATAAAGTTGATCTATGAATCCCTGTTAAAAAAATCAAATTAAACGTACAAAACTTTTTCTTTTCAATTTTCTTTTATGAAATTTTTTTTAATAGCACCATCTACAGAAAAATAGAACATTATCTTAAAGTAATAATAATACATAATTTGATAACAAATGACGACAAATAGAAAGTTGGTAAATATCATTTTACCTAAAAGTATGTTTACTTGCATTTCCACGAGATGTGGGTTGTTAAATAACCACGTAAAGGCTATCCAGAATGCAAACCAAGGGATCCCATGACATGAAATCTAAAAAATATAATTTTTTAAATTTAGCATAGTTTGCAGGCTTCTATGTCTGTTATTAATAATTGAACAATTTCTAGGCTGGTTTTTGCATCGACAATTTAGACAAAAGACATAGCACTCACTTTTTTTTAAGAAACTCGAGTTACTTATGTGCTATGTGCACTCGTCCATGGTCCAAGTCACCCTGTGTAACGTTCTGAACCTTGATTTTTTCAGATTTTAATGCAGACTAAGGCTTGAATCTACTTAAAATCTGGAAACGATTCATCCTTAATAATCAAGGATTGCAATATCTCAGACCAGTTACTTCGAACTGTACACCATAATGGATATCTAATCTAAACCGATGATGTGGCAACTAACTTAGAATTGTTCAACCACTCCAAATTAAGGCATTTACTGAGACTGAAAAATGACAACTAATTTATATTTTACTAGTTATTAAAAAATTGTGTAGTTACAAACAAAACTATTTTTTTCTCATCAATAGAATTAATTCATTCCCGTTTAGAGATAGATAATAAATATTTGATATCAAGCATTTTATAAAAGTTGTGTAGAATAGATATTTTACAAAATATAATTACACAAATCAATTTTGAAATATAACGATATGCAAAATAGTATTTTAAATTTTTTGTTATAGCCTCTATTGTGATTTTTTTACATTTATTTCATAATACTGTTATGTTTCATAATAATGTTTTGATAACGTTTTAAAATACACATACCTCTAAGCCTCTGTAGTGTGTGCGTAAGGTTCGAAAAGTTAAAATATTATTTGCCCATATTACAAATCTTTTCGTTATTTCAGCATCGTACCTTAGGATAGTTTTTAAAGTGGAAGGAACTTTCCTCTTTTCCGTCTAAAAATTAAACAATTTAATTTTCAAATTATTGTTACATATTTATATTATCTTACCTCAGCCATTTTATGAATCAGATTGTTTATTATAAATCTGATAAATATGTATAGGTATATATAATACAGATTTTCCTATGTACTACAAGAAAATGTTATTTACAAGGGAACATTTCTAATAATAGGACTATAGAAAGCAGAAAGTATTTCGAACTTAACCTACGCTCTAAAATTTCGTTGGCTTTGTTTGTAGTTATGTAAATAAAAACTAAAATTAAGTAAATGCCAAAAAATAGTCCCCCCCCCCTGTCAAAGATAGAAACATGCAGCAACTAGTTATGCAGTAAGGCGTTTACTTGGTTGCATAACGATACTATTCATATTTTCACATAGAAGTGGAGAAAACTAGCTTAGAATTTCCTGAAAATTCAGAATTAACTAGAATCCTTGTAGTTGAAATTTTACAGATATATTTTTATCGCTTTAATTGTGTAAATTTCACGGATCTTAGGGATGGTAAGCTGTCCTTTTTTTTTAATATTCACTAAATTTCCTATGAAAATTAAATATAAATTTTTGGAATGTTTGCAATTCTTTCATTTTGAACTCTCAACTACATACTAGAGAAAAGCTTTAAAAAATATTCGTTTTAATGGAAAATTACTTTGGAGAGTTGCAAATTAATTGAAAATTATTGAATTGATACACCCCGATAATCCAGAACGGTCTAGTAATTTTAATTTTATTTTATATAATAGAAAGAGTTATTTAATTCCATGATGTACATATCTAAAAAACCAAATTGGCCTTGAAATATGAGTAAATATCAATTTTCTTTACGAGTCTCGTCTTCCAACAACAGTGATTGTCTCATTTTCTTTTAAATAAAAACCCATTAATAATTTTACAGCGTTGTATTATTGTATTACTATATTTACCTTAGTTTCAAATTGAAAAACTCATTGTGAGTGATATTATTCATCTAGGATATTAGGATTTATATTTTTACTATTTCAAGTTGATAAAACTTTCATAAATTCCCAAAAAGAGGATGAAATAAAATCTTAATGAAAGTACAATTATTAACCACTAATGATCAAAAGCAAACACATTTTGTTTAATATATTTTTATGAGTTATTTTATACCCATTAGACTGGTCTGCATATGAATTAAAGAAATACCTAAGTAACGTATAAAACTGTATTAGGGAATTTATTCACTATTAATGAGTTAAATGTGGAGTTATTTTGGCACTTATTTCTGGTATCGTATGTAACAGGTATCGGAACAACTCGATATTTATTATTACAATATCATACTTGTATTTTATTATTGACATTTTTATGATTTCTTCTAAAATTTCCTGTTCAGAAATATTCAGAAAACAATAAACAGAAATAACAAAATCGCAATAAAACTAACTTACATTGAAAACTAATTAGGAAAAATATCGATCTTTTTCAATTGTTGTTTTAAATTTTATTATAATATGATTCTTCATCGGCAGCTAAAAATTTATTAAGTATATTTTAATAAAAATAAGATGTAAATAGATTACTGGACTTGCAAAAGATTGAGGAATTTTGTAATTCAAAGCAGTGAAATTTTTTTTAAGAATGTTTTCTATTTTCATACAGCTTTTCAGATAAATACAAATTTAACTTTTTTTAAAAAGTCTCTTAAACTAGCAAACATATTTTCGATTTAAGATATCCCATACAATTTGACACACCCTGTATATCAAATTTCATTACAATTTTTAAAAAGGTGCTTTCGGTAGAGAAATTTTATTAAATTAAGTATGGCATGGTAAAATGATTTGAAAACAAATACTCATAACGTGTAGTGAAGAATAGTTTAGTTTAGTTTATTGACCATTTTTATATACAGTTAAGTACATGTATAGTCACAGACGTTTAGTTCTTTTAACAAAATCACTTACACTATAAAAACAATGTTCCAAAAGGAAATTTTTATTTAATTAAAATTGTTGTATAATTCTACATCTAACTTATTTTGCTTTGTGGTGTGAATCCTTGAAAACTGATTTATCAATTTTTTGGCATTTCTGGTGTCATAAGTGTGATTATCAGAATGTTTGAAAAAATTATCCATATTCTTATGAATACACAATAGTGTCTCAAATATATAAATAAAAGGCAATGGCATAATTTGGTGTTTTATAAATAATGTTTTACATGGAGTACCATATTTCGCTCCATCTATAATACGGACTGCCATTTTTTGTAGTGAAAATACTCTGTTGACCACGGCAGAGAGTTACCTCACATTGTAACACCATAAGTAAGGCGATTATGTATTATAGCAAAGTACACAATTCGAATAGCATCTGACGAAAGACAGTGTTTAAGCTGGCGTAAACAAAATATTTGAGATAATAATCTGGAACAAATATAGTCTACATGAGAAGACCAATTAGGTCTGGTGTCGAGTATCATTCCAAGCAGCTTGGCATTTCTAGATGATTTTTCAGAAGAGAATAACAGATTTTGAGTTTTAATGTTGTTTAATTTCAACATATTGGAAGAAAACCAAATCTCTGCTTGAAATAATCTGTCATTATGCAACTCTATAGTATATCTAGTTAAGAGCGCTATGTCATCAGCAAATAGTAAACAAGAATCCACACCAACAGAAAAAGGGAGATCATTTATGTAAATAAGAAATAAAATTGGGCCCAGGACCGCGCCTTGTGGAACCCCATTCTTAATAGGTAGCAGGTCTGACTCATTTCCTTTTAAATTTACATACTGCCGCCTATTATACAGATATGATGATAATAGATTAAGCGTGTTTCCTCTAATACCGTAGTATTCTAGTTTGCATATGAATATTTCCACATTAACACAGTCAAATGCCTTGGTGAGGTCACACATGGTAACATTCGTACTTGTGCCATCATCAAGTCCCTCCACTACTCTATCAACTAATTTTAAAGACGCTTTTATTGTAGATTTGTTTTTTCTAAATCCGAATTGTGCTTCGGTAAATATGGATTTATCTTCACAATATTTGACCAATCTGTGTTTAATAATAATCTCAAAAATTTTACTAATAATAGGGACAGTTGCTATTGGTCTGTAATTATCTAGAATTGTACAATCGCCCTTCTTATGCAAATGTAAAATTTTTGTAGTTTTTAGTGAGTCAGGCCACACACACCTTCTTCTACACACTTGTTAAATGAACATAGTAATGGTACAATTAAAATATCCAGAGAAGCCTGTAACATATAACTATTCAAACAATAGTAATCCAAACTTGAAGTATTTTATTGCTTCACGTACGTCATGATTCAAAATTGGTGACATAAAAAATGAAAATTGTGGTTTTGGGGCTTTGTTAAGTAATACTAACGGATCTAAGTTAACATCATCAATAGTATTATAGACTGCTTCAGAGACAGTAGTGAAAAAGATATTAAAATCATTAGGATCGATAGCAGTGCTAGAATTTGAGCTACGAGTTTTCCTCTCATTGTTTACTGTTGTATGATGATGTATTTAATAGTAGCTCTATTCAGTGTATTTTTTAAATGGACGTCTATTCATGTAACATACAATTAAATTAAGCGAAACTTAATCACATTATTAAGCGAACTGATAATGAATTTCATCTGTCTAAAAAATAATTCTTTTTTTAGTAAAACATTATGGGTTTGGAAAAAATTTGGAAAACTAGTAGTTCTCGTCTGCTGTATTCACAAAAGGGTTTTACAGGTTACTACCTAGAAAAACTGATTCTTGAGGATGCTTGTAGATTGAATAATTATAAATGCCATCTCCAGTTACCTATATTTGTTATTTTTTATTTAAGAAAGAAATATTAAATATTTTTTTAAGTAATACCAAAAATAATACAGCTAATAGTAAAAGCATGGCAAAATAAAGTTAATATTTTTTTAAACTGAACAAATTTCACTTTTATAAAAAAATACGGCGCTTTTGATGTATAAAGAGATGGATCCTACCTACCTTCAGGGCCCCAATATTATTCGCTATTTGAAATATATTCTAATTGTTTTTGTCCAAGCAATATGTAGGATAATTCAAAATCATCTCTAAATAATGAGAAAAATTTAATTAATGAAGTATGTCGAGTATAAGATTTGCTCGATTATGAAAAATTATTTCTTGATGATATGTTCAGATCAGAAAGTGCTTTCATGGAGAAAAAAAAATCGGAATTTGCGAAATAGAGAATTAAAATAGGGGTTGCCGATGCTGAAACCTCGAAAAAGTTTGTACATCTTTGTGCATAATATGTATACCTATGTATATTTTTTCATATCTAATTACAAAAATGTTTTTTTTTTCTCTTTTGACAAAAGTTTTTTTTTAACTTAAACTTATGTAATATTTAATTTGATAATATTCTTTTTAAAAAACACGCTTTCTGTTATTAGCTACGTATCTTATTTTTTACTTTATTAGAAGAAGCCATGTGAAACACTTGAATTTTTTCTATAAATTAATTTAATATTTCTTATTTTTAATACTTTTTAACACAGCAGCTTTTATTTACATAACATAAGAGCAACGAACAAAACAACATAGATAAAGCAAAACAAAATTAAATAGTAAATTTAAATATTACAAAAAAATGTTCGAAGTGCCATTATTGTGGTATTCTATAAAATATTATTTTGTTCCAAGTAGCTGAAAATTTATACAATTTCTTCGAGGTCATGTTTTTTCCAAAATTCGAAGAATCTTCTACATAACTTGGTAACCCCGCACTAAAATGATAAACTGTTTATATTACCATATACAGAATTTTCTCGGAAATCCATATGTTTAAAAATATACAGGGTGCTCCATTTAAAAAATGAAATATTTGGCGTGTTCTGTTTTTACTCGTCACTCTGTACGCTACAAATTAATTTTGCAGTTTAGATTTCTTGATTCTGTACAACTTTTATATAAACTTTTTTTCTGTATTATGAGTAACAAGGGAGTTATTTTACTTTCTCGCACTAATGGCCCATCCTGTATATGTAACATGTAATCCTTTTCGTAATCCCAGGGACGAAAGTTTCTAATTTAATTTATTTCGAAATTTTTTTTATCGTGAAAGTGCTCTTTGTACGCCTAGAAATCCTTCCCAAAACATAGTATAGGTCCTACATTTTGATATCAAAATACATATGACTATTTTAATTGTTACCAGCCGCCACTGATGTATTGATGGAAAATATTAAGCGACACTGTTTAAAATCATTCTAGTAGATTTCATAAACTACAAATAATTCGAAGGGAAGAAATAAGTTATATCCATCTTAAATCTTTAGATTTTATTTAGGTAGGTACCTACCTAGTAAAGTAGGTAAATAAAAATAATTTTCTCGGTAAACTTAATTATTCTTGTATTGCCTCTTTCAATATTATTTTACAAATATATTGAGATGTACACTTATGTATGTATTGTTTTTATTTTTGGCGAAAATCCGATTGGTACGTAACTTCAACATTAAGGGCCAAATTCAGATACATACCTAAATCTATACTAACCTTTCACTCATATCAAACTTACATAATATGTTTCACACAACTTATCATCTCATCATCAATTCTGGTATTTAGAAATGTGCATAAATGAGTGACTAACTTGAGTGTGCATCAAACCACAAATTACTAGATTAGGAAATAGTTGGCTACTCAAATATTACCAAAAATATGTCATCAGTGGAAACCTAATGTCACAGTATTTCTTTATTTTCAATTTCAATAAGTCACGTTGAAAATATATACATAATAAATTACATTTAAATAATAAATAATTAAAATCAGAAGGTTTAATTAATTATCGAGGTAAAAACGATCCTCATATAATCCATGATATTCCAAGTAATAATAATCATATTTAATTCATTTTCCCTACTATGACTATGTACTTCATACAGAGAAGATTGAGTGACAAGCAATGATTTAAGACGTATGTAACAGAACTAATTTCTAAAAAATAATTATAATTTTATATATCATTCACGTAATATCCTTTATTGAATAGCAGCTGGACTTAATTATTTGTAAAATATAATGCTAGAATGTTATGAAACCACAAAATTAATAAATTATGATAAGCACACGTCAAATATCACTAAGATGTTACTAACTTAGCACTCATTTGTGAGGTCGATTTGAGTGATATACGGTTAGGGTGAGTTTAGTAAGAAATAAGTGTGAGTGGAACTTTAGTGCGATTTATGAATTTGGACCTAAATCTTAATAATTTGAGTTAATAAGACATTTTGGTATGAAATACACATGAAATATGTACAGGGTGGCACAAAAGTATGGAAACCCCTGAATAACTCGTCAAGAGTGTATTTTCTTGAAAAATGATAAATACCGTAAAAATTTTGAATCATTTAAGGAATGGTGTGGGCACAAATCCTAAAAAAAATTAAAATATTTATGCTAACTATTTTTTTTCCTGATGGTTAAATTGTCCTTAAAATGATATTTTGAACAATGTTTGTACATATTTTTAGATACACTCTAAATGTATACATTTACGTATTTTAAACTTAAAATTGTAACTCGAAAATTCTAAATAAAGCGAACTATATATTTTTCTCTGAAATACTGTTAGAAATAAAATGCCTCCAACTAATGGCCGAAAAACTTAATAGCTTAGAAATTTTGGGGTTTACATTGACAATGTGGTTGACATTTTGGTATATAAATTCAATTGTTTTTAATTATTTAAATTATTAGCCCAAGTTCCATTATTCTACATAAATATTTTCAAGATATTTGAATGTGTTTTTTTTTTAATTTCAGGACCCTATATCTCTGAAACCATTAACTTTAGACTAAAGGTGGTTCGTTAAGATTTTCTTGCCTAAAATAATCGAAGGAACATGCTCTTGTCATGACAAGGATGTAAAAACACTGAAAAAAATATTTATTTTACTGTTAGAAAAGAAATTTCGAAAATTCAGTAATAGATAGATAGATAGATAGATCGCTTTATTTGACCATTTGATATACAATAGTACATTTATGGCAAGTCAGAATACACAAAAAAGAACACAAAGATAAAAACTAGTATGTGTACATAAATAAAATTACTAAAAAAAAAGAACTTACACACAACATAAATAAAACGTACATTAGATGTTATTCGTAATATGGCATCGCCAGAAAAATCTTCAACTGTATAAAAGCAAAACCTAAGCAAATGTTTCTTAACTACTAATTTAAAACGTGTCATATTTAACAGTCTAATAGAGTATGGAAGTTTGTTATAAAGCTTCACATTTAAAGAATTATGTGCTGATTTGGATAGTACGGAAGCCGTCAGCTCTAAGCATATTAGCATTTCTTGAATTATGACTGTGAATATCTGACTGCAATGCAAATCTGGTTATATTCTTATGAATTTCAACAACCTGGAAAAAAAATATAAACAAGGAAGGGGTAAAATACCAAGGGAAATAAAAAATTGTTGACAATGTTCTTTGCTATTCACATTAGCCATGACTCTAATTGCTTTCTTTTGCAAGCGAAATATTTTTATAGATTGTCTGCAATTGCCCCACAGAAAAACTGCATAGCATATGCGAGAATGAAAAAAAGCAAAATAGGACATTATTAAAGTATTTAAATCAACTATATTATTTAGCTGTCGTAATAAAAAAATGGTGCTTGGGAGCGACTATCTATACCCATATTCAAAAATACCAAACGTTTTTCTGTCGTTCTTTTTGTCTTCATTCTATTATAGCTAATTTTTCGTACTACCCTTATCAATTTCATATTATCCTGTAAGACTTTCATAATTATGATTTTTTTAAATAACAAAATAATAATAATAGCTATGTGCGATACTTAACTACCTTGTACTTAGCGTTTTGCTTGTTTTGGGATATCTAGTCATTTTTCTTATCACCGAAAAATGTATTTTATATTACCTACACAACACACAACTTTGTATTTTCTTGAAAAATAATTGATTAATTTTATACATATTTTGAACTTTTCAAATGTTTTGAAATATGCCAACATATATAAAACTAATATTTTTTAGAAGCAAAAATACTGACGAAAGATAATGGAATTCTTTCATTTTCTTGAAATCTCAAACACATAAGTAGGTACAAGGAATCGTGGGAAGAAATAAAATTTTAAAAACGCTAAATAATCGACTATTTACTTAGTTATTTTTGTGTAACGTTACATCAATAGAATAGAATATACCTAGATAAATAATTGATAATCCATTATTTAAAGTTATTGTTTTATTTTAACCATTTATAGGTAACTTGTGTCTGGTATATGTGTTCATTATTACCAATTATCATTACTAATATGTTTAATAAATGTTTGACAATAAATAAAACCAATCCATATAAGAATTAAAACATATTTATTAAAAATATTTTATCACAGATATCTTAAGAACTAATTTATAATTTTTGATAGATTTCAAACATATAAATACATTAACTATCACAGACAACCCTAACCTATTAATTAAAGCTTTGAAAAATATTAATCTAATGTTAAAGCCAAAATATTGAGCAAATTGAAAGAACGAAAACAAATGTCTCTTAAATTTTACCAAGGCCTCCAAACGGATTCGGATTTCTGCGTGTTCACTGAAGAATAATCCATAGGGCTAGGCGAATTCCTCAAGGAAGAAGGCGTCAAGGGTATCGAGTACTGATCGTGGTGGACGTCCTCATGAGCGGGAGAAGCCGGAGGAGTGTAGGCACTAGGCACGTCAACAATTAACGGAGACACTTTGTCCATTTTTTTCAAACTGTGGCCGAGGTGGGTCATGAGCTTGGTACCCAAGTGGATGTCGACCCCAGGGGTGGACGCTAGGCACTTGGACACCTCCTTGGCACAGGTGGTGAAACCAGAACGGAATCTATCCGCTTCCAGGGTGGGATTCGCGGATAGCCGCTGCTGACGTTTCAACTTTTGAAGGTGGGCGACTGTGAGTTCTAGGATATCCGCCTTTTCTAGCTTGGAGACGTTATCCCCGTCGGTGGCGAGGGCGAACACCATGAGTTCTTTGAGTTCGTCCAAACAGCGGTTGATTCTCGCTCTGCGTTTTCTTTCTAGCATGGGCTTCATCACTTTCCTGTACTGCATAGTACGGGATATGGGCTGCGACTGGTCCTCGCAAGGCAAGACGGCGTAAGAAGACATTTTCGACTGTAAGGCACTGGCGAAGGTACACTCGAAGCAACTACTGAGAGCGTTCGACTCTGAATGGCTTCCTAACTGGAAGAATTTTAGTTTTATAGGGGTCGGGGGCCAGGTGCAGAGCTGAGGGAAGCTCGAGTCGTGGGAACCGTGCAGCACAGGGTACGATTTGCGTCTATGAGAATAGAGAAAAGGACGGATGGCATGGCGGGTACGCTCCATATGTTTCGAGGATGAATTGGTGTAAGTTATTCGAATTAATTTAGAGCGTGCATGGGAACGTGGACTATGGGAACGTGTCGTTCGCGCGCTAGTCGCGAGAGCGACGGCTGCTCCTCTTGGATATCTTTTTAATAGTGTTTTGATTGTCTTGGATGCTTTATGTTATCACTTTTTATGTTATGAAAAAAAAGTTTATTAAATATACAAGATGTTTTGGAAAATGTAACATAAACTCAGAGTTGACAGAACTTAAATAAATAAGACGAATTTTTCCTATGGACCAAGAGCCTATCGTTTCTATTTTTGAGATAAAAGGAGTCAAATACGAACTTATAAAATTAAATTTTAGCCATATCTTTCCAAAAAAAAAACAATGCAATGCATTGAAATTTGATGTTTGGTAGTAGTTTTTTTACCATGTGCTAAAGGTCCCTAGCTTCGACTGTACCCACCCATACAGCACAGTGACATTCGTAGGATGTACTGAGGATAACTTTTCAGGATATATAGGATATCCTCGGATAGGTACACAATCAGCTCAGGATGTACCAGGGATATCCAAATGGAACCGCCTGGGCTTTGCTTTTGACGTCCTGAGGACATCCGCATGGCTATATACAAGACATTGTCAGGTTATCAGTGGATCAAATGAGGACAACCTAGGCTTTACTATTGATGTTCTCAGGACATCAGCCGGGCTATTATCAGGTTATCAGTGGATCAAATGAGGACAACGTAGGCTTTACTGTTTATGTCCTCAGGACATTAGCTGGGCTATGTACAGCACATTTTTAGTACTTATTGGGCTAATAAAAAAATTACAGGGTGGTATTAAATATTTCTATAGATCAAATACGTACCTAATTTCCAAAACATTTGCTTGCCATTTCCACTCCATCTAATATTTTTTATTCAAAAAAATATTGACACAAAAAAATGAAAAGGGAAATCTGATCATTTATCTATTCGGTTATAATATGTAATACGAGATTTGATTTCTTTGATTACCACTGGAATAAAAATTGACAATACAATATCTTGGATCTGTTGATTCGTCATAAATACGTGAAGGGTAGTTTTAAAATTCTCTTTTCATGAAATATAGACATTTTAACATTTTTCTGCAAGAAGTATTCCATCGTTGATACATGTATGTATTTTTTAAACATTTTACTCACCCACATACTAAAATCTGACGAGAATATTCTGTAACATAGCCACTGGCAGATATTTTTCTGTTTAAGACTACATACAAATTTTCAGAAACATCTCCAAATTATTAGATATACACATCAATGGTTCATATTATTCATAAAACTGGTTTGAGGCATTTTTTTAAACTGGAACAAATAAGACCTAAAGAGAATAAAATATAATCTTTAACAGCACTTCTGGATTTAAAAAAAAAATATGTTAAAAATCTGACCTCAAAAAAATTATGCTATAAAACGGTACTGGGTAAGATCATACCTAGCGACGTCTAGTAGATGGTCAAAAATTCATAAACTAACACATTTAGCATAATAGGAAACGTACCCTTTGCCAACTTTTAATACATCACGCTGTTTTTTGGAAATGGTATGGTTAAAATTTAGTTTTAAAATATTTTTTTAGATAAGGCAACTTAATTTAATATTACTTATTAGTCTTATTACAAAGGAGGTGCTTCTAAAAGGTTGTGCCTAATACTTGTCTAGAATACACTATACAGGGTGTCCTATTTAAGATGGATTTTTCTATAGCCTCGGTAATAATAATACAAAATTTCTTGACCTCTTAAAATTATCTTCTAATGATACACCCTGTGCATCATTTCTTTTAAACATTACTTAATTATATTTTTTCAAATTAAACATTAGTGAATTTTTTAATTTCTCTTCAAATTTAGGGCATACTTTGATAAATTGGTCTAAAATGTATCTACCCTTTCGGCATTATTCGACGAATAAATAAAATTGCGTTAGCAGCGTTCTCAAATATATCAAATCTCTCCGAAATTAAACATGATATTTTCAGCATTTGTTACAGTATGATCATTTGCATTACTTCGCACAATTCAGATAGAAAAATAGTAATTGCAGCTTTAGAAGTTCAAACTATTCATTTACGGATATTTAATTTTTTAATGGAGCCCTTTATTAAATTTGCTACTGATAAATGCAAAATTTGCTTTTTATCTATGAATATGACTTCAACATGATTTATATACTATCGAGGTGCATTTTAAAATTTATGGAACTAATTTAACTAACTCCAGCTCAAGATGTCTAAATGGACTAAGAAGGATTATCTTTAAAAATGGAATTAACCTGACCTGAAGATGTGAAGGAATTTATTGTTCAGGAAGCCAGTAGTATTGTACTTAAATACAGAAATTTCAGAAATGTTGCTTTTTCTTTTAATCTAATTAATTTTCTTTTTGTGTTTTGTTAAGGTATATGGGATCCAATTCTTATCGGTGTGAGAAATTCCTGGGTTTTCACAATTTTTATTACTATTTCACGTTAAAATATGGATGCAGCATAATGGCATATTTAAAATTAAGAATGACTGTAAAAATGATGATAAACATTAGAAAAATAGTTAGAATGTGAAAATTAAATTATTGTCAAATTTAATTTTTACGAAAATGTGATCATATTAGGTCTTGCAAATGAAAGGAAAATTAAACAAAATTAATTGAAGATCTACCATAATTATTATTCAAATTGTATGTCATATAGGTATTTTGCTACATGTGAAAAAATTAATAAAATAAACCCTTGTGCCAAAAGGATCAGGTTATTTTTATGAAAATAGTTTTGCCTAACTAAAAATCTCACACTGAAAAAAGAAGACAAATACAAAACACACACACTATACAGGGTGTCCAGAAATTAAACCGACAAACGAAGACAGCAAATTTTAGGAATGATATCGATTTGACATAAATCGTATAATCCAAAACTGCTTTCTAAGGGAGGTGGGGCCCTTTGAAGGTATTGCTCTTTTAATTGTTCAGGTTACTGTTTATCTGGAAAGTTGAAACTTGGGTTACGTGTTAAGTCTTATACGGACAGCCTTTTGATTAAAGATGAACTAATTGTAACGATAGGCGTCACATTTGGGAGGGTTAGCTGATATTTTTTAATAATATTTAAAATCTTCGACTTTTTAGTATTTTGAATATCAAAATCGAAAACCTCAAAGTATTCTAGATTAAAGAAGTACTTTTGAACTGTTGTCTTGAGTACCATATGCGAGAAAAATCTGTTTCAAATGTTTGTGTTTCTTTGCACATACGTTAATAAGAAAATTACAAAAAGCAAAATTCAATAAAAAAATTTGTATTAATAATATCACAAACTGGCAAAAATTATAACAAAACGACAATTAACAAAAATAAACAAACTTTAATTTATAAAAAAAGAAAAAATGTTATAAAAAATATCAGCTGACCCTCCCAAATGTGACGCCTATGGTTACAATTAATTAAAAGATCATCTTTAAATCAAAATGTTTTGCGTATAAGAGTTAACACATAACCTTTGTTATGATCATTCTTGATAAACAACGATCTGAACAATTAAAAAAAAGCAATGTCAACCGGCCATTTTCAAAGAGCTCTACCTTCCTTAGAAAGCATTTTTCGATAAGATGATTTATCAAATCAGTATCAGTCAAATCGATATGAAGTCACCTCTAGAATTTGCCGTCCTCGTTTGTCAGTTTAGTTTCCGAACACCCCGTATATTGCGTGGTTTAAAAAGTTGTTTACGTTTCGAAAATCTGTTTGTTTTCATCCTTTAAACTTATAACGACATTTCGTTTTCAATTATTTATGATAGTTTTATAATAATAACTTCATAATGTTTATCGTTTTGCTCGCATTTAAAATTATATTACCGTTAAACAGGTAGGTACTTCCATAAATCTAAAATAACTCGAGAATTATATGTTAGTAAGAAAAGTTCATAATACAGGATTTTTTTTCCAGAAACACCACGACTGCAATGCAATGCAATGTAGTTAAGAAAAAGTAATTGGCTTAAAAATGTTTTACCTATCCAGTATTACCCCAATAATAATTTTAACCGGTACCTATTACCCGAAATCACCTCAGAAAAACTTAATACTCAAAATTAACCAACCACACCTAAATGTTTGATAAATACGTAAGTTAAAATAACTTGTTCACTTATTATTTACGTTGCTCAAATCTTACAACTTTGCCTGAACCCTTCGCTCTGTAATTGCTTAAGTGGAGCATTTTTTTTTCAGCATTTTAGAAAATCTAAGCAAGTTAGAAAGAACATCTCTTCACTGTACCAGTTATATGTTTTTTTCAGGGTATAAGGCAACTGATAATATATTCCAAACATGGAAAAAAACATATTTTTACCTCCTATGTTTATCTTACGTTTCCTGAATTTTGCACCGCCTGTTGAACATACAAAACCGCATACGGTATAGTCCTTCCGAAGTCAGTTGAACATGCATAAAAAAACGAGCAATAAAATTTAATGAGTTTCATGGGCGTCCCTAAAAAAATTTTCTGCTAAAGGTAAAAAATTATAATAATTTGTATACAATGTGTAGAAAATTAAATGTTCATTTGGCCAACAACATATTTTAATTATTTACCTATGTCCTCAAACAATTTTATTATATTGGTGGTAAATTTTGTTTTGTTCCGTTTCAAAAAGTCTCCAAAATGCCATGCTGTGATAATATTAGTAAACAAAATATCCCTCTTATTTCTCCCTTTCGCAATTGCAATATGAATGATTGATAGAAGGTGCCTATAATAAATTAAAATTGCCTGATTCACACCAAATTCCGCACTGTAGCACTGCAATGCTGGGCAATTTATGAACCACTTGTCGCCTGCTGTGATTTATTGCCCAGAAGCTCAATACAACTGTGCTCGTTTTCCTTTGGCCGCTCTCGCATTCTTCAACTGGTTGTATACATTTCTACCACCTACACGTTTATTTCGACCAGACCTATATATGGGTATG